ATGATGAAACAATGGCTGATTCAGTTGATCAGCTGCGTGATGGTAAGGTAGAAATAGAAGCAACCGATGCGGATGTCGAAGAAGATGATGGTGAAGACGACTATGACGATGCGTTTGAAGACTCTTACGGTGGCGAGCTCACAAATCATGATGAACAGCTTACCGTGCAAAATTTCGCTCAGTCATTCGCTGATGAGCCGCCCGAGAAACGTATTCGCATAATCTCCGAGTCACCCGCCAAAAGTTTAGATGAGAACCATTCGCAAAAAAAGTCTTTGCTCGCAATACAGACCTCTAACGGATGTTGCCTGACTGTCACCTCCACTCCAAACACGCAGCAATCTCGCCAACAGCAGCAGCAACAGCAACGCCGCACGCCACAGCTGAACGGCAGTCTGGGCAGCTGCATTTCTCCAAGCGAAAAGCTGGGCGATAATTCTGACGTGTTTACCGTATCATCCGACGGTCTGGAAACCGACATGGACTTAAGCAACACTCAAGCCGGTGACTCACTAGAACATTGTTCCCATCAGCGGTTGCAGCAGACAACGCCCAAACGCAAGTTTGACATCTCAAAGTATGCGCCCCCCAACAACGCCATGGCCGCCAGCAGCTGTGCCGCCGAGGCGGCTACTGCGGCGGTCAAATCGCTTGCCATATCGCAGTTTCTAAAAAAGGAGGTGCGTGTTACATGCCGGCGACTTCGAGCGCCCTTTCGCCGCTTTCGATATCGTCGCTGATCATCTTTATTGTCGTCATCATTGTCATTAAAACCGTCATTAGTTTAAGTGAAAAAATTGTAAATTCTAAAGAACGGAGTGTTCAAGAAAATTGTTCATTAGGTTATCATAGTCCCTCCATGAGCTGTCATTACGGCATCTGATTCCTGATTCCTCGTCCTCTGTCCCGCTAATGTACATTATTATACATTCATATTCATTGTATTGATTGTTCGAAACTTTATATAATTCCACATATGCAGCTACTTCCCTGACATACTTAGGTATCCAAAACCACACACATAATTAGCATAATTTAAAATGCAATGTCAGCAACATACGTAAGATAAGATAAGTTTTTAGCTTAGAAGAAATTCCGTACTCTTTGATGCGCCCCCTAGCCGACTTCCCAATAAAGAAAATGAAGAAACGATGCGAAAATACAGACATAAATTAGAATTAGCAAAAGTATAGAACGATTAGATTAATAAAAAATTAAAAAAAGAAAACAGTACATTTCGTTTTTAAACAATATCAACTTGATGCTCAAATTATGTATAACACGAATATAAAACCAAAAGCAACTGTAAAAAAAAATAATCAAAGAGTACATTAAAAATATACAATTAAAAATATACAATTAAAGCGACTGCATTTCATTACAAAATTGCTAACATTATTCAAAAGCCTGATTGTCCTAATTATAAATTCTTTGATCCCATCCAGACTTGCGCAGGCTTATTAAATATGAAGAACGTTTGGCGACGAACTCGAAGGAGGACTATTTCAGCAGCCTTTATAAACGCGACACCATAAGTTCGCGCGCAAAAACGGCCGACAGGGAAAAAGAGAATGTACCTCATCAGATTGATAAAGACAAAAGTAAGCAGCAAAACTCGGATGATGACAAGGAACGCCTCAACAGTGGAAAAGCCGCAACGGACACCAATTTGAAGCTGGCAACCTTGTTTCGGGAACAACTTTTGATAGATGAATCAAAAGAGCCGCCCAATTCCAGCAACTGTGCACGTCGCAGTCGCAGCAAAACAAAGAATGGTCCATCCACTAGCGAGGCTTGTCCCAACCAGGACACACGGATCCCACATCAGTCTAAATTGCGTAAATCTCGACCGCGCAGTAATAGCCGCCTTTCAGCACAGGGTATGATACTCGAAATAGAACCTGTTTTTTTGATTTTGATTTTTCTAAAGTTTGTAATCAGGCTAAGCACAAGCGAAGCGATCCTGTGGCCTTGTACCAGTACTATCAGAACGAATGGAGCCATTTCCGTGACCGAATTCCAGGCGAAAACTCCCATACAGACCTACGTTGGGAAATACGTCACAAGCTTATTCCCAAGTAATACATCTACCTTTTTTTCCCCAAATAATATGTAACTGCCGTTAATAGAATATACGAAACATGAATGCAAAATAAACTATGAAAGATGATGTATTTTCATTAACTACTAAGTACATGTTGACCTATCCCAAATTCGTTCACAATTGTTCATCTTAGTGTTTATATTGTCTTTGGTTAACTGAACCCTGAACTGCTTTTGAGCATATGTCACAGCTTTTAAGAGCTAGAGACGTTTAGGATGCAGGTTCTCTCCAGTGAATACATAAATCCCTAATATATAACTTCTTAGAATCCATACTACTTATACCATGGTCAATGGCCCGAGATGGTTGGGTCGGGTACCCGAATACTGCGAACAGTTTGGTAAGGAATATGACCCTCTGCAGAACGTCTCCGCTAAGGAACGTGCATCATTAAAATTTCGTTTTCTTATAGACTAATTCTGGTTTAATTCTGGTTTTTCTTATAAACTAATTCTGGTTTACAGTATCTACAAATTTCGGGTGTGACATCTCGTAGAGCTATACATTTTCTTATGTTTCTGTATGAGCCAGCCGATATGGCCATGCGTTAAGATTGGTTGAATAAATTTCTTATAGGCAAGTGAACCTAATTTGATCAGTTAAGTACTTTTTGTTTAAAAATGAAGTATGTAACTTATATGATATTTGCAATGATGACGTATTTACAATGATAAGTTGACTAGTCCAATCTAACTTAACTTAAGGCAGCCTAGGCAAAAAGAAAAATTCGTTCTCTTGGAAAATCGTATTTGTAGCCCTTAAAAGGGCTTTGTTGAAAAACAAATTCCATTATTCGAAATTTGCATATGCTGAGGAGCAGTTGGCAATTTCAAATTATTTCTTCGTTGCAGATGCAGTCTTCGCTTTTGGCTTCTTGACAGCAGTTTTCTTCGGGGTCGTAGCCGACACGACTTTTTTCGGTTTAGCACTTGTGGTCTTAGGTTTTGGGGTCTTTGGCTTTGTTGCGCTTGACTTAGCCTTTGCTGTTGTGGGCTTGGCCTTTATGGTTCCCGTTTTCTTCGCATCCTTAGCCTTTGCTTTGTCCGCCTTCTTTTTCTCAACAGTCTTTTTGGTTGCTGCGGATTTTGATGGCTTTTTATCAGCGGCACCAGGGGCTTTCTTCGTGGTAGACGTACTACTCTTCTTTTTAGTTGCTGCTGCCGCCGAAGCATTCACCTTCTTAGTTTTCTTCTCGACAGCGGAGGCCTTTGGCTTGGGATCCTTTTTAGCGGATGCAGATAGTTTGAACGAACCAGAGGCACCCTTGCCCTTTGTTTGGATCAGCTTTCCATTCGCAACCGCATTCTTTAGGTACTTCTTAATGAACGGGGCTAGCTTCTGGGCATCGCACTTGTATGTAGCACCGATATATTTTTTAATTGCCAGAAGGGATGAGCCACCACGTTCCTTTAAGTTTTTAATCGATGCATCTACCATTTGCTGAGTTGGTGGGTGCGATGGAGGAGCTGCTGACTTCTTTGACTTTGGTGTGGCGGCTGCTGCCTTTTTAGTAGCCACCTTTTTCTCGCCTGAGGCTGCTTGGGCAATCACAGGAGATGCGGACGTTGCAACTGCGGAATCAGACATCTTAACTTCACTTTATTCTTTCACTGTTCACTGTTCACTTGTACATTGTCGAAACTTATTTCTTGGTCACCCGTTTGCGTGAGAATCGAGGAGGACGGCGGTACGAGAATGTTTTTGGTATTGAACGTTTGTTACTCGATGCGTCGTCATTACATGCTTGTTAAATGGCCATTTACAAAAGTTTATACTTGGAAATCGTTTTAAATGTGAGTTGGAATGTTTTGTTTAATATTCAAACAATACAATATCAATTATTTAGTGTATTTAACATGATTTTATGATTTTTAATTGCCAGTCAAAGTTTAACTTTGAGTCTTGGCGAAAAAGGTTATCGAACAAAAAACACAATTATTAATAAAAATATAATGAAACTTGAAATATTTTTCATTTATCTACAATATTTCAACAATTCTTTAGTCAAATTTAACTATTAATTTAAATATATCTTAAGTCTACTATTTTAAATATCTATTTAACATAACCCTTAGGTGTTAAAATCAGGCAAGTTTACAATGAAATCAATATAAAAACGCTTCAGACAAATCTAATTTTGTCTTTAATATTATATGTATATATTAAACAAAACGGAAATGAAAATTATTCCATTTAGTTAAACAAATAATAAATTTAATTAAATCCAAACTAATAATATATCATGCGACATCCATATGAGATTTCTGTGTAGCAAGAAATCCATCAGACCCTCAGTTGAAAAGATTGTTCCATTTATTTAAACAAATTGTAATTATAGTTGAAACTAAAGTAATAAAACATCATGCGAAATCCATATGACATTTTTGCGTAGAAAGAAATCCATGAAACCCTTAGTTTATTTTTTTTCGTAATTCAGGATATATCAGTATCTCTTGGAACACAATTCATTGTGTGTTGAGGCCCAAACCAAGTGCTTTATACAGATTATCAGAAAATCATCTATACATCTACATATATTATGTCGTTGGAATATAATGAATGAATTTTCGGTTGAGCCAAAAAAATATGCATATGGATTTAACTTTAAGATACAATGAGGTAAAGCAAATATTGTAATGCCATATTTGTTTATTGCCCCTTTTTTTAAGGCTATTTAATATAATGTTGTATTAGGCGACCTTTAAATTTCATAATTGTTTCTTTGTTCAAGACAAAATGAAAATGCAGTTTGTTTGAATTTCAACCAATATGTTTCGGCTGTACTTCGGTATTTAATATATTGATACGAAAATAAGAATCTCCTTTCTAAAAATATTTGGTGGTCCTGAAAAGGACCGATTTGTCGGATATTTATGTATTAGGGACGAGGTAGAACTTAAGCGCGCTCTCCTCGAATACGTCTGGCCAGTTGAATGTCCTTGGGCATGATGGTGACACGCTTAGCGTGGATAGCACACAAGTTTGTATCTTCGAATAGGCCAACTAGATAGGCTTCGCTAGCTTCCTGCAAAGCCATCACAGCCGAGCTCTGGAAACGCAAGTCGGTCTTGAAGTCCTGAGCAATTTCGCGTACTAAACGCTGGAACGGCAACTTGCGAATAAGCAGTTCCGTGCTCTTCTGGTAGCGACGAATTTCACGCAGGGCAACAGTGCCTGGCCTATAGCGATGAGGTTTCTTCACACCACCAGTTGCTGGAGCACTCTTACGTGCTGCCTTAGTAGCTAACTGTTTCCGAGGAGCCTTTCCTCCAGTTGATTTACGAGCAGTTTGCTTAGTACGAGCCATCTTTCTTTTACAATTCTAACTTTACACAGTCACTGTTCAAAACACAATAATCGTGTGTCTCGTTTGTGTTTCGCTTATATAGAAAATGAGTAATAAGTTAGAAAGAGAACGATATATTCGTTGTTCGTCGTTTTGCACAATATGTTACGAGGATAGTGTGTGAGCGAGATGGAAATATGTTTTTACTCGCTCGTGTTTTTGATATTTTTGGTATAAATATAAGCGCTGGCCGAAGAGCTAGCATTAGTATCTCTGTGGCATTCGTGGTGTAAAGTGAAATAAAAAGTAAAAAAGTGAAAAATGACTGGTCGTGGTAAAGGTGGCAAAGGCTTGGGTAAAGGAGGCGCCAAACGTCATCGCAAAGTGTTGCGTGATAATATCCAGGGCATCACGAAACCAGCTATCCGCCGTTTAGCTCGTCGTGGTGGCGTTAAACGTATTTCTGGTCTTATTTATGAGGAAACTCGTGGTGTTCTAAAGGTTTTCTTGGAGAATGTTATCCGTGATGCGGTCACATACACCGAGCACGCCAAGAGGAAGACAGTTACAGCCATGGATGTTGTTTATGCGCTGAAAAGGCAAGGCCGTACCCTATACGGTTTTGGCGGTTAAGAAAAGAAAGTAGAAAGTAGAATTGAAACCAATCGGTCCTTTTCAGGACCACCAATCCGTTTTATTAAGAGATCAAAAACATTTAATTCAACCTTCATGAAACGCGCAAGCACAGATCATATGATTTTCTAAAACGTGGTGGGTGCTGTCAAGCGTCAAACGTTTCTCCATCTCAGAATCAACCGCTCCCGACACTGCTCCAGCAATCGACCAGAATCACCGATGTTGGCTTGTTTTACATATTTTGTGCTTGTTTTTAGTCTACTCCAAACCAACCACCCCAAAGACCGCATTGGACAAGAGAATATTGCACATATTTATTGACTAGCATGATGACTGTACTTTTGAGCCCTAAGATGTACTGTGTATTATTGAATCGATTCCTTAAGCGAATGAAAATACAATCTCTTTTTTGACATTTTTGGTCGTCCTGAAAAGGACGTTTGGTTTGGTTTCGACTATTTACGCTGTGAACTAGCAAATTATGCCTTCTTTTCCGTCTTCTTGGGCAACAGAACTGCTTGGATGTTGGGTAAAACACCGCCCTGGGCAATGGTGACGCCCGAAAGCAGTTTATTTAACTCCTCATCGTTACGGATGGCCAATTGCAAATGGCGAGGGATAATTCTAGTTTTCTTGTTGTCGCGCGCAGCATTGCCAGCCAACTCCAAGACTTCAGCGGCCAAATATTCCATAACGGCAGCCAAGTAGACAGGAGCACCGGCACCAACACGTTCAGCATAGTTGCCCTTACGAAGGAGGCGGTGAATACGACCAACGGGAAACTGAAGACCAGCGCGGTTAGAACGCGACTTTGCCTTTCCCTTAACTTTTCCACCTTTACCGCGACCAGACATTTTCTTATTTTCTTTATTTCGCTGTTTCACTGTTTACACACAAATATGTTTCCTACATCCATCGTGACTATCATATTTATACTTTTTGCAACTAACCACTTCTTCAGTTTAGAGTGGAGAGTATAACGGTTTGTTAACATGAAAGCGTCGCTCGAAAAAAGTATATATGCTAAGCTACTTTAGGGTGTGTGTTAAACATTTGTGAAGTGAATTAAAGTGAACGTTTGTGAATAATAATGCCGCCGAAAACAAGTGGAAAGGCAGCCAAAAAGGCTGGTAAGGCGCAGAAAAACATTACCAAGAATGACAAGAAGAAGAAGCGCAAGAGGAAGGAAAGCTATGCTATCTACATTTACAAAGTGCTCAAGCAGGTCCACCCTGACACCGGCATTTCGTCAAAGGCGATGAGCATAATGAACAGCTTTGTTAACGACATTTTCGAGCGTATTGCTGCCGAGGCCTCCCGTTTGGCTCACTACAACAAACGCTCGACTATTACCAGTCGGGAAATCCAAACCGCAGTACGTCTTTTGCTGCCCGGCGAATTGGCCAAGCACGCTGTCAGTGAGGGAACAAAAGCAGTCACAAAGTACACCAGCTCCAAGTAAAGTTCAGCTATATGTGTGCACATGTACGGAAAGCAAACAAAAGCAAAAGGCCCTTTTCAGGGCCACAAATCTCTTTTTCATGGAATTAAAAATATTTAAAAATCCAAACAATATATATGAATATTATTTGTTTTGTATTATTATTTGTTTGTACTGTTGCGCTTTTCTTATATATAAAATATAAAATAAAAATGTCTAAACAATTATACTCTGCGATCTTTAGAGGAGTGTTTGAATAAATTTCTTATTGGCAAGTGAACCTAATTTGATCAGTTTAGTACTTTTTGTCTAAAAATGTTTTATTTTGCGGTGGAATGAATGAGGAAAGAAGTATGTAACTTATATTTGCAATTGATCTAACTAACTAACAATCTAACTTAACTTAAGGCAGCCTAGACATTTCATTTTTATATTTGCTGATGCAAAAAGAAAAATTTGTTCTCTTAGAAAATCGTATTGGTAGCCCTTAAAAGGGCTTTGTTGAAATACAAATTTCATTATTCGAAATTTGCATATGCTGAGGAGCAGTTGGCAATTTCAAATTATTTCTTCGTTGCAGATGCAGTCTTCGCTTTTGGCTTCTTGACAGCAGTTTTCTTCGGGGTCGTAGCCGACACGACTTTTTTCGGTTTAGCACTTGTGGTCTTAGGTTTTGGGGTCTTTGGCTTTGTTGCGCTTGACTTAGCCTTTGCTGTTGTGGGCTTGGCCTTTATGGTTCCCGTTTTCTTCGCATCCTTAGCCTTTGCTTTGTCCGCCTTCTTTTTCTCAACACTCTTTTTGGTTGCTGCGGATTTTGATGGCTTTTTATCAGCGGCACCAGGGGCTTTCTTCGTGGTAGACGTACTACTCTTCTTTTTAGTTGCTGCTGCCGCCGAAGCATTCACCTTCTTAGTTTTCTTCTCGACAGCGGAGGCCTTTGGCTTGGGATCCTTTTTAGCGGATGCAGATAGTTTGAACGAACCAGAGGCACCCTTGCCCTTTGTTTGGATCAGCTTTCCATTCGCAACCGCATTCTTTAGGTACTTCTTAATGAACGGGGCTAGCTTCTGGGCATCGCACTTGTATGTAGCACCGATATATTTTTTAATTGCCAGAAGGGATGAGCCACCACGTTCCTTTAAGTTTTTAATCGATGCATCTACCATTTGCTGAGTTGGTGGGTGCGATGGAGGAGCTGCTGACTTCTTTGACTTTGGTGTGGCGGCTGCTGCCTTTTTAGTAGCCACCTTTTTCTCGCCTGAGGCTGCTTGGGCAATCACAGGAGATGCGGACGTTGCAACTGCGGAATCAGACATCTTAACTTCACTTTATTCTTTCACTGTTCACTGTTCACTTGTACATTGTCGAAACTTATTTCTTGGTCACCCGTTTGCGTGAGAATCGAGGAGGACGGCGGTACGAGAATGTTTTTGGTATTGAACGTTTGTTACTCGATGCGTCGTCATTACATGCTTGTTAAATGGCCATTTACAAAAGTTTATACTTGGAAATCGTTTTAAATGTGAGTTGGAATGTTTTGTTTAATATTCAAACAATACAATATCAATTATTTAGTGTATTTAACATGATTTTATGATTTTTAATTGCCAGTCAAAGTTTAACTTTGAGTCTTGGCGAAAAAGGTTATCGAACAAAAAACACAATTATTAATAAAAATATAATGAAACTTGAAATATTTTTCATTTATCTACAATATTTCAACAATTCTTTAGTCAAATTTAACTATTAATTTAAATATATCTTAAGTCTACTATTTTAAATATCTATTTAACATAACCCTTAGGTGTTAAAATCAGGCAAGTTTACAATGAAATCAATATAAAAACGCTTCAGACAAATCTAATTTTGTCTTTAATTGTTGTATTATATTATATGTATATATTAAACAAAACGGAAATGAAAATTATTCCATTTAGTTAAACAAATTGTAAATTTGTTTAAAACTAAACTAATAATATACAATGCGACATCCATATGAGATTTCTGTGTAGCAAGAAATCCATCAGACCCTCAGTTGAAAAGAAAGATTATTCCAGTTAGTCAAACAAATTGTTATTATTGTTGAAACTAAAGTAATAAAACATCATGCGAAATAAATATGACATTTCTGCGTAGCGAAAAATCCATTAAACCCTTAGTTGATTTTTTTTTCGAAATCCAGGAAGTATCTCTTGGAGCACAATTGATTGTGCGTTGAGGCCCAAACCAAGTGCTTTATACAGCTTATCAGAAAATCGTCTATACATCTACATATATTATGTAGTTGGAATATAATGAGTGAAGTTTCGGTTGAGCCCAAAATATGCATATGGATTTATCTTTAAGATACAATGAGGTAAAGCAAATATTGTAATGCCTTATTTGTTTATTGTCACACTTTATAAGGCTATTTAATATATTGATACGAAAATAAGAATCTCTTTTCTAAAAATATTTTGTGGTCCTGAAAAGGACCGATTTGTCGGATATTTATGTATTAGGGACGAGGTATAACTTAAGCGCGCTCTCCTCGAATACGTCTGGCCAGTTGAATGTCCTTGGGCATGATGGTGACACGCTTAGCGTGGATAGCACACAAGTTTGTATCTTCGAATAGGCCAACTAGATAGGCTTCGCTAGCTTCCTGCAAAGCCATCACAGCCGAGCTCTGGAAACGCAAGTCGGTCTTGAAGTCCTGAGCAATTTCGCGTACTAAACGCTGGAACGGCAACTTGCGAATAAGCAGTTCCGTGCTCTTCTGGTAGCGACGAATTTCACGCAGGGCAACAGTGCCTGGCCTATAGCGATGAGGTTTCTTCACACCACCAGTTGCTGGAGCACTTTTACGTGCTGCCTTAGTAGCTAACTGTTTCCGAGGAGCCTTTCCTCCAGTTGATTTACGAGCAGTTTGCTTAGTACGAGCCATCTTTCTTTCACAATTCTAACTTTACACAGTCACTGCTAAAAACACAATAATCGTGCGTCTCGTTTGTGTATCGCTTATATAGAAAATGAGTGATAAGTTAGAAAGAGAACGATATATTCGCTGTTCGTCGTTTTGCAGAATATGTTACGAGGGTAGTGTGTGAGCGAGATGGAAATATGTTTTTACTCGCTCGTGTTTTTGATATTTTTGGTATAAATATAAGCGCTGGCCGAAGAGCTAGCATTAGTATCTCTGTGGCATTCGTGGTGTAAAGTGAAATAAAAAGTAAAAAAGTGAAAAATGACTGGTCGTGGTAAAGGTGGCAAAGGCTTGGGTAAAGGAGGCGCCAAACGTCATCGCAAAGTGTTGCGTGATAATATCCAGGGCATCACGAAACCAGCTATCCGCCGTTTAGCTCGTCGTGGTGGCGTTAAACGTATTTCTGGTCTTATTTATGAGGAAACTCGTGGTGTTCTAAAGGTTTTCTTGGAGAATGTTATCCGTGATGCGGTCACATACACCGAGCACGCCAAGAGGAAGACAGTTACAGCCATGGATGTTGTTTATGCGCTGAAAAGGCAAGGCCGTACCCTATACGGTTTTGGCGGTTAAGAAAAGAAAGTAGAAAGTAGAATTGAAACCAATCGGTCCTTTTCAGGACCACCAATCCGTTTTATTAAGAGATCAAAAACATTTAATTCAACCTTCATGAAACGCGCAAGCAAAGATTATATGATTTTCTAAAACGTGATGCTGTCAAGCGTCAAACGTTTCTCCTTTACTTTTCCGCCTTTACCACTTATAAAGAAAAAGGTTCGATATTTTAATAGTTTAGTTAAGTTTAATTCAGTATATAATTATTCAGTACAATAATAAAATGTCTAGTGCAATCCTATGTTAAAATTAAATGTTACTTCCATGCAAATGCAATTTTTGCGGTGAAATTATACGATATTTAATAAGAGGTTTAAACGATAGTCAAAAACTATCAAACGCTCAGCTTGTTGTGTTGCCAATAACAGGTCATGTTACTCATTTGGCTCTGCTATACAAGTTATATTTTCTTCATATGTAGTTTTCTAGGCAATATAACTATTTTCCACCACCGAGAATCGTTTCCTAGTGTAAAACTACGCAGATTGAGCAACAAAAGTCGACATTTCTTTCTAATGGAACAAACGGAACTAAACAACAACCACCCCACAGTCGCAGACCCTCATCTTGAAGAATTTACTCATTTGGCACTGTTATTCGAATTTTATTTCTTAATTATTTAATATTTTAGGCAAGATACATACTCTCCGCCGCTGGACGTTGAGTCCAGTAGTAAACCAAACCAAACTTAAACTCTGTATACATATATATGTGTACATTAATTATACATTTTATTTACCCAGCTGTGCAATTATGATAACGCAATGAAATTGCTTAAATAAATATTGAGTAAGTACACAACAGATGGCTCAGTACATATTTATAATAATCAAAGCAACATTCATCCATGTGTGTATATATACCTTACGATCAGGCTGCATCGCCATGTTACTACGCTTGCCGCTGTTGTTATCGCGTTTTCTGCACAATGGACGGCTGCGGCTGCTATTCCTAGCGCTTATTGTCCTGCTTTTAGGCGGCATACTCTTAAATTATAGATGGCAGTCGGATGTGCAGCTTTGTTTTATTGAGAGGGAGCAAACAGAGTCGGCATCCATTGGCCCTTTACCGGACGCTGCTGTGCCTGTTCCAAAGATTTTGGAAGATGTGCTGTCAACAGATCCCAAGCCAATACCTGGCCGTAGCATATTCTTTCATGAAACAAGTTGTCACAGACCAAAGCGCAAAAGACAGCGTCATGGCCAAAGTCCTGATTTACAGTACAACATGTTGCAGTTGACGGCGCGCCAGGCATGTGCCATCGAATCTGCCGCCTTGCATAATCCGAATTTTCAAGTGTTTGTGCTGTTCGCTGGTCCCACCTATCGACACCTCAGCAACAGCAGCCAACGCCAGCAGCCGATCATCGATGCCATTCTAAGCTACAAAAATGTGCAGCTTCGACAATTAAATCTTTGGCGCTATGCGGCCGGCACGCCCATTGAGGAATGGCTAAAGGATGGCCGCTTGTTTCGGTCAAGGTGAGCACAATCAGATTTAAGTTAACGAACCTCTTTCTGACTGAATGTGTGCCTTTCAGCTATCTTTTTTCGCATATATCAGATTTTCTAAGGTTTCTAACGCTTTATCGCTATGGCGGTATTTATTTGGACATGGATGTAGTAATGCTACGCAGCATGGAGGATGTGCCGCCAAACTTTACGGGCGCCGAGTCCAATACACATTTGGCCGCTGGCGTAATGAGTCTAGCCCCCACTGGTTTTGGTCATGAGATTGCCGAGTCTTGCCTGCGTGATTTTCAGCTGCATTTCGATGGTAGTGACTGGGGCAACAATGGGCCTGGGGTAATAACGCGTGTGGCACAACAGATTTGTGGCACAAAAGATATCTCACTGATGCTGGAAGATCGGAAACGCTGCCTTGGCTTCAAGGTATTCGATCGCAATGCATTTTATGCTGTACCCTGGAAGCATTGGCGACATTTCTTCGAGCCACAGCTGCTCGAGCAGACTCTGGAACACACGAAGGACTCATACTTGGTGCACGTGTGGAACAAGCACTCCAAACAGCTGGCCATCAAGGTCGGATCGAGTACCGCCTACGGCAAGTATGCGGAGCAGCATTGTCCCAAGGCGTATGCAGCAGCGGGTGAATATTTCTAAAAAACTATTCAAATATAGTTCAACATACCAAAGAGTTAGAGAGACTTAGGTAAGTTAAGTTCAATTGTTTAATATGCTAGCAATGCGCATTCCAAATTTTATATGAATTACCAACATTTAGTCAGCACAAAATTGGGAAAGCAGTAAATCTTGTAGTTTTCAAATTTGCTGGTTCAACGGACCCAACATATTCCATTTATTTATTTATTTTTTTTGCCAAACTTATTATTATATTGCATCACATATTACATTAAATGAACGTACAAAAACGAAAAGTATACTTAAATGTATGACATGCATGTATATCAAAAATTGAATTTAAATGAGTTTAAAATATAAATATCTACAGGAATCTACAGCTTTGGCTTGTCAAAGACAATATCGTTGCAAACAATTATGAACCAATTCAATATTAATATTGTTAAATGGCTCTGTTCTTATTTTTTATGAGTAGCTTGGAAAGTTTGACTCTTCTTTTTACCAACTCTTGGCATAGAAAATTGATAGGTCTATCGAAACAACACAAATTTACAAATTGTTTGAACAAAACCAAAATTTGGTGATACAAAATCTCATACATTTTTATACAAATGTCTATAATCTATAAATACTAAATTATGGTACTGTTTGCAAGGGTATTCGAATAAAATGTGTTTTTGACTGTCCCATCAAATGGATTTTTAATAGATTATATATTATAATTTCATGTAACTCAAACATAATCTTTAAATTTATTCGAATCTCAGTACACAGAGCTCAGATAATTTTAAACCTCTTTTGTAATTTTTTTTTCTGTACACCAGTTTTAAAAGTTCTTCTATTATATACAAACCTTTATATGTACAATATGGCAAATAAATTAATCTGTGAATGTCTGTGAATATTCAATAATAAATGTAAAAAAGTATTTTTTGTTATTACTGCCTCACTGTCTACAACCATTTGCTGCCCTGAGGTATACCAAGACTATTCACCCAAAAATTCATTTGTTTTTCAATGATAAGGCAATGGGGGAAGGTATCCAAAAAGTAAAATATTCTGGATCTGTGTGTGCTACACAAGAATCTCTGTATCTTATAGGCTGCGGGATATGTTTAAAAAACGTAAATTCGATATCGATTTTATAGAAATTGTGCAAGATGCAAAATGTTCACTCTGTTTATATACATTTGAGCAAAACCATTATACCCGTTATTTTATTATTAAATAGGTTCAAGGTATAAAAGCACAATATGTTTGAATTGACGGTGCGGCAGGCCTGCGCAATTGAGTCAGTAGCTGGAGGATCACAAACGTTGCGTATGTAAGAAATAATGCGAAAATCGAAATTAATTCCCTAAGTCCAACTTTCAAACATACTATTTATTTCCCAAACTTGTATTTGTACTGTATATCTAGGTATTTAATTAAATTGATTCATACCATCTATAAAGTCTAGACATCTGCGATAAGTCGTTACATGTGTAAGCACAATATCAAGAAGCCATTTGTCTAGCTATAGGGTGCGCAACAAATACACATTAATTGGATACGCATATTACTTGGCTAACACTCTCAGTATTTGCATACATCTCGCAGCATCAAGATGTCATTAAGTTTGACGCTATTTTCTCACAAGTTTCTTCCAAAGGTTCGACCCAACTTAGTTCTAGCGCTTTTTGGACTGCTTGTAAGCGGCATAATCCTTATTTACACATACCAACGAGACGTGGGAAACGCGATGACACATTTCATATGGAAGCAAGCGAAGCTACAATCGATTGGTACAAATGTTCCCAGACCGCTCAAAGATGTGTTGCTGACGGAACCTAAGCCCAAACCCGGACGCACCATATTTTTTCTTGAGACGACCCGCATTGTCAGACCAAAACCAGAGATGATGAACAACATGTTACAGCTGACGGCGCGTCAGGCTTGCGCAATTGAGTCAGCGGCGTTGCATAATCCCACTTTCGAGGTGTTTGTCCTGTTCGCTGGTCCCACCTACAGTTATCCCGAGAACAGCAGCCAGCACCAGCAGCCGATCATCGATGCGATTCTTAGTTACAAAAATGTGCAGCTTCGTCAATTAAATCTTAGACGTTATGCGACCGGTACACCTATTGAGGATTGGGTAAAATATGGGGAACTATTTAGCTCCAGGTGAGACGTAACTAGTTCTTACTTTGTAACAAACTGTATGTATCCGTTTGGTTTAGATTTCCGATTCATCACGTATCCGATCTACTGCGGCTAATAACCCTCTATCGTTATGGTGGCATCTACTTGGACATGGACGTGGTGCTATTGCGCAGCATGGAGGATGTGCCCCTGAACTATGCTGGTGTCGAGTCTTATACTCACGTTGCCAATGGTGTCTTAAGCATGGCGCCAACTGGTTTTGGGCATGAGTTTGCTAAATCTTGTCTACTTGACTTTCAACAGCAATTCGATGGTGATGCCTGGGGCCACAATGGACCTGGTGTCATCACACGCGTAGCACAAAGGATTTGCGGCACCACGAATATGTCACTGATGTTGGAGGATCGCACACGTTGCCAGGGTTTCAAGGTGTTCAATCATACTGCGTTTTATGCAGTTTCCTATACAGATTGGCGCCACTTCTTTCAGCCGCAATATTTGCAGCAGACGCTTGCACGCACCAAGAACTCGTACTTAGTGCATGTGTGGAATCAGGTCTCCAAAGTATTTCACATAAAAGTCGGCTCGCGAACTGCCTATGGCAAGTATGCAGAAAAAAATTGTCCTAGGGCGTATGCCGCAGCGGGTAAATATTTGTAGAGAGATTTTTTAATCTGCTTAAGAGAGATTTCTAAACATTTAAAGTGCGATTTCTTCCAGCGAAAGACAAAAGCTGATCCATAAATATTCCGTTTCTATACCAGCATTACTAACTTAATTATATATACATATTTAGCATGGTAATTTCTGCTGGTATTTTTTGTAACACAAATCTCGCATAAATCTTTTTTTGTTAAAACAAGTTTAATATACTTAGTACTAAAATGCGATTAATTAAATGATACAAATTATAAGATCTATTGGGTAGATATCAAAGAAGAATGGCAGCACAGGCTTATTCCTTACTGTGAGCCATATTTTGTCAAAGATATTTTGGTTCAAACGAATAATGAAAAATGCAGACTCAGCAGGAAACTAAACTTACCCCAGCCAAACTTAAGCCAAACCATTTGGGGCTTGCCGCCCTGGTATTAAGTAGATTCATAATAACTATTACATTTAAAATACTGCTGCTGCAGTAACCGTAACATATTAAATCGCAATTTCATAAGGTCCATTTCTTATTTTTGTTTAGATAGAGTGGGCCAACACAAATAATCATTAAACGGATACGCTTGTGCTTGGTTAACTCTCAGTATTTGCATACACCTCGCGGCATCAACATGACATTACGTTTGACGTGTTTTCCATTGAGGTTTTTTGCAAAGATTCGCCGAAAATTAATTCTAGCGTTTTTTGGACTGCTTGTAGGCTGCATAATCCTGACTTACACATACCAACGAGACGTGGAAAAGGAGATGACATATTTCACATGGGAGCAGGCGCAGCTGCAAACCATCAATACAAATGTTCCCAGACCGCTCAGAGATGTGTTGCTGACGGAACCTAAGCCCAAACCCGGACGCACCATATTTTTTCTTGAGACGACCCGCATTGTCAGACCAAAACCAGAGATGATGAACAACATGTTACAGCTGACGGCGCGTCAGGCTTGCGCAATTGAGTCAGCGGCGTTGCATAATCCCACTTTCGAGGTGTTTGTCCTGTTCGCTGGTCCCACCTACAGTTACCCCGAGAACAGCAGCCAGCACCAGCAGCCGATCATCGATGCGATTCTTAGTTACAAAAATGTGCAGCTTCGTCAATTAAATCTTAGACGTTATGCGACCGGTACACCTATTGAGGATTGGGTAAAATATGGGGAACTGTTTAGCTCCAGGTGAGACGTAACTAGTTCCTACTTTGTAACTAACTATATGTTTCCATTGGGCTTAGCTTTCTGATTAATCACATATCTGATCTGCTCCGGTTTATAACCCTCTATCGCTTTGGTGGTATCTATTTGGACATGGACGTGGTGCTGTTGCGAAGCATGGAGGATGTGCCCCTGAACTATGCAGGCGCCGAGTCTAATTCTCACGTTGCCAGTGGAGTCATGAGCATGGCGCCTCACGGCTTTGGACATCAGTTTGCCAAATATTGTCTACGTGACTTTCAGCGGCATTTCGACGGTGATGCCTGGGGCAACAATGGACCTGGTGTCATAACACGCGTAATACAAAGGGTTTGTCGCACTAAAAATATCACATTGATGATGGAGGACGAAAAGCGCTGCCTGGGCTTTAAGGTGTTTGGCCAAAATGCATTTTATGCGGTGCCTTGGGAGGATTGGCGACATTTCTTTGATCCGAATTTACTGAAGCAGACGCTGGCACGCACAAAGGATTCGTATTTAGTTCACATATGGAACGACATTTCCAAACAGATTAACCGGGTGGGTTCAAGTAGCGCTTATGGAAAATTTGCGCAGCAACATTGTCCCAGGGTATATGCTGTAGGTGCTGAATATTTCTAGGGTATAGTTAAATTTCTTTTTATAAAAGATTCCTTACGGAGGAAGATTTCCAATTTGGCTGCCAAAAATGACTCGTTCGCATCCATCCACAGCAAATTTAATGTAATATAAATACAGCTAGCAATTGTAATACTTAAATATATATATGTATGTGTTAATCAAGGCATTTCCTAAAACGAAATAAAAGTTGGGCCAATTAGAATTGCTGCTTAGATGCACTGCACCTGGGAATAGCGTAGACAGGCACCAATGTTATCCTCTGCACTTCCTTTGCCTTCGACGTTTCCATCTCCAAAATGTACTCCTATGTAGAAAGGTGTGACGGTGCTCTCAATGCGACATGGCCAGACACCCGACGAACAAAACTGGGCGCCGCAGTGCACCGGTTCACAACCCGGCAAGGGGCCGAGCCCCGTACCAATAAAATCTTCAATGATGCACGGCATCGTTATGCGATCTGTGCATGTGCTAAAGAATTGACGTGCTTGACGACGACGACGGTGCCTTAGGCGTAAATCAAAGGCGCTGCGCAGGAAGCCCAACAGATCGAATCCACCCGATGAACCGCCCCCACCACCTACTGGACGGGGACGCCTTGAGACGCCTAGCCTTTCTGTTGTCGCCGCAGACGGATTAAAAATGTTATCTTCTTCACTCCAACCAGAACCCTCGGAGTCATCGTTAGCGGGCGAAGTCGAAGACGAAGGCGTTGCATCTGCAGCAGTGCTTACACTCATGGCAGGCACAGTACTGGAACGCGAAGGCATCGGTGTGGTCATCATGGCTGTCATGCTGCTGGCTGCAGATGTGACATCAGCTGCTGCTGCTGCTGTAGTTGTTGCCACTGTGCTGGCATTGTTTGTTAATGGCTGCGCGGGCCCCGGTGTTGTGGTGCGATTGAGCGAATTGTTGATGATTTGCATGAAACTGGCCATTGTCATGGTATTTGTGGGTGTGCTATTAACAGCTATGGACGCCGTCGATGGCGCCTCCGTTTGCGAGGGATTGGAAGAGCTGCTGCTGCTGCTCGCCATAGTGTTCATGCCGGACATAATTGAGCCACCGCCTCCACCAATGCGAAAGGATTGCTCATCGCATGGCTGATATACGATGGAGCACATATCGGACTCCTGGCGCATACAGATGCGATAGTGCTGATTGGCCAAGTGCCTTCCGTTGTCAGCGAAATTGAAAGTCTGCATAATGCCCTCTACTCCGGTGTGGTATTGTAAACATCCCGCCGGTGCGCGCTGACTGAAGGGTATCTGTGCAACCCGAATCTCCCACAATCGAATGGGCAAAAAGCGTGTCGACAGATTAATACTGATCTCGATGAGCTGTTCCACAGCATTGTAACCGTTAAAGGTGCTCATGTTTGTAGCAGCTGGCGGTCGCAGACTTCCATACAACGTTGTCTGACGCGGCAGCGCGCGAACTCCCACATCGTAGTACACTATAGATATTTAAAAAGGGATTACATATATTTTATATTATTTTCCAATAGCCCGTCTCTCCGTATGCCCGTCTCTCCGTATGCATGACATTTCAAGACTGCTATGAATATAGAAATCTTTTTTCCTTCACATAAATTAAAGCGTGTTTGATCCTCAATCAACTTCTGTACAAGATTCTAATCGGAGCGTAACAGACAAATTTGGTATAGTTGGCTTTGATATACTCACAATGCTGTCCGCTGTTTTGGCCACAGAGCGTAAAGGGTCCACCGGGACCACCGCTGATATTGAAGACGTCTCCATCGCAAACGCCGGTGCGTCGATTGGGTTGACCCAGGGAGAAGTGATATAGATCGAGACGCAGCTGACTTATGTCTTCACTCATCATCTTGACACTGAGCTGGCAACCAGTAAAGTTGCTGGGCATAAAACTGGGAAACTCCGGCGACACAATATACGTAAGGTTATTGCTTATGGTTCCATTACACGTGGCCACAAATACACAGCATACGCCGAAACCCATGGCACACTCGCCTTTGGCCTCTCCACCCTTTTGACGGCATTCGTACGCATTCAGGCAGTTGCCCAAGCGGCGGCCATCATTCGATAGGCACTCGCCATCTACGGGCACTGCAAATAGATGTATTACTGCAATAAGAGAAATATTAATATTAATAATTACATTTTACGGCACAGTCGAAATGGTTCCTCTTGACTATTATTGGGTTGTTGACCCTTAAACTGTAACCCTATATCAGAGTCTTGCATTTCTTTGCCAAAATGTATCATAGGGAATTATATTTGATCTATTTTCAAAAAAGGAAGTCTTTGACCCGCCTTGTGTTGACCTAGACCGACTTACCTTTGGGACGTCGACTGTTGCTGTTGGTTTGATTGCTGCTCCACTCGCCGCCAATGCTGTACACTTCCTGCAGCAGCAACTGCTCATGCGCTGCTGCATCATCCTCAAGCTCATCCTCATCCTCGATCAGCTCGAGCTCCGTTTGCAGTTGCTGGTCAGAAGCTGGTGATTTTAGATCAGCGCTCCAGATATCATATTGACGCAAAGGTGGCCAGGCGGATTCATTTGTGGCAGCAACTGGCACTGAGGCTGGCGCTGCCTCGCAATGCTGAAAGTTGAGCCACAATGTGAATATGCAAATACCTAGCAGCAGGCTCCAAGAAGATTCAACACCAACAGCACTACAACAACCGGCTGGGCCACCAACGACAATAACTTTCTTTTTGGTCGCACATCGTAATAAGCTCACAATTTTATTGCACTTGCTTAGCGGCGACAGAGGCGAAATTTTAATGGCTACCCATTCCATGACCAATGCCAATGCAATCTGCAACTACCGCAAGACCACTCTCTGTGCTCTGCACCGTTTTGCTCCTTTTACAGCGTGTCGATTTTGCGCGTGCGCTCCGTCGTGTTGTTCAACGATAAGTGTGCGCCAGTCGCCAGTTGCCAGTCGCCAGCTTTAGCTGCAGCGACCAGCTCCAGCTGTCCAAGCGGTTTGGATGCTATGCGTGGTTGCCCTGATCAGCTTTCCTCTCTCAGAATTTATGTTGCTGCTGCTCTTGGCGTTGTCATGCTGTGGCTCTAATCTGCGTTTATTTATTTGCTATACTCGGCGGTGTGCTCCATTTCTTGGTGTATTTGTGCTTTGATGACATTTGCCTATCATCAAACTAATCGCAGTATATAGATGATTTCAATATAAAACCTCTTTTCATAAATGCAGAAGTGTTGTGGTTGGTTGTTAACTGTTTTTACGTTAATTGTCAGCACTTGCATAAAGTCCATTTTGGGAGCACTTGAATTGGAAACATCCTATTCAACGGATGGGCTCTAGTAGGTTATAGCAAAATATTTCAGATTCAGAGTAATGCTGATTTCCGAATATTTATCACTCTAAAGCTTTAATTGTGGGTCAATTTATCGGTCAATCTTTAGAAGAGTCATCAGTGATCTACCTATAAAATGTTGTGCTGCTGCAGATCTCGATTCGCCTGAGCTTGTACAAACCAATTTAATAAATTATTTAATTGAATCCGTGTTTAATAAATAATAACCAACATTCCACATATGAGGTGCCTTGCTCTTATAGTGTACGAAATTGAGCAGTTCATTCAGACGGCTGTGGATAGATCAGAACAGCTTCTTGTCCCAACCCCATACAGCCGGTTGAAGTTGATCACATCCCCCTATATTTATACAAAGCAGACAGCAATTGGCTTACTTGTTCTGCATAAGCCTGTGACCGGACAACACGTGAATTAGCTTATATTTGGGTTGGCTTTGGGTTGCATTTGTGCTGCATCATGGCGACTCTGTTGCAGTTGCTTTTGTCAGTTTTGTGAATGAATGCAATACGGTGGCTTCCAGCTGGCGAAAAAAATCAGGTTAAACAGCTCTGTAGTAACTTACGCTTGGCTCAAGCGAATAACAGAAACTCGAACCACAAACAAGTCTTTAAATAGTAGCCAGCAAAGCATAGAAAGCTGACAAGTTCAGCGGCAAAAACGGTGTAAATGCATTTTATTTTATGGTTTGTGGCTTGTCACTAGAACATTTGGATATATTTAAAGGGCAACATGCTGACTATCCACATTGCTTGGGAAACCTTATTTGTTCAGCAACATTTTTAAATTATCTATGATAGCTCTTTATATAAAAACTGTTCGTCCTGACTGACTGACATAGATTGGTGATTAACGCCTAGTCCAAGCCCTAAGAGCTAAGGAGAATGTGCACCATTCGATCGGCCTCAGTCATCTTTTTCCCACGGGTACAATATATATATACAATATACATAAGAATCTTTGTCTTTTTGAAAACGTGTCTCTATTGCAGTGATCGAAAATGAACGTCTGTCGAGTCAGCTTGTTGAGCAAGAATTCCTTCATTCCCTTAATCTCAGTTGCTCTCAGAAGTTTATAGTCAGCTGTTTATCTTGGAGCCAAGAACACAACAACGTTAGGAAGTCCGATCGTGCATACATACGGCAATTGATTTTCTATAAATAAATTTAAACGTAAGCACTTTTATAATAACTTGTAACTTGTTAATATTAAAGTCGTCTAGCTGCCCCTGACTCTATCTCCAAATCTCTAGGAAATATGGATTTTCTATTATACGAGCATACAAATTTTTAATGGTCGGACAGGATGGCGGATATTCCAAAAAAGCAATAAAATCTTTTCAGTTGGTTTTTTAGAGTATTAGAATAAAATGTATTGCATTTTGGTCCAGATAATAAAGAAATATCATTTTATTATGGAAATGTTTGTTGTTTTCTATTTCAAGGACATCTCATACAGTAGTTTAGAGAGCTACTGGATGCGCACTCGGTTAATATTAAATAGGCTTGATATATAACATGAGCAGTGCATTCATCGAATAAAAAATATAACAGTCAAGGATTACAAAAAATAGTTATTTTGAGTATTTCTTTTTTAAATAAAGCGCTTAATCCTAAGTCATAGTTTGAACTTTGTACAATGCGTTTAGTAAGTTTGTTAGCCAAGTTTTTTGTTGTATATGTTGTCTAAAAATGTAAATGCCTATAACGGCTCTAGGGCAGTGGGACCGTGGGGACTCCCTTCCAGCTTACGCCAGACCACGTTGCACATCTCGCGCACCAGCGCCTTCTCGCCATCGTCCATCTGGTCGAGCGCACAGCCCGTCAGATTTCCCAGGCGATCGCGTTCCAGTTGCTCCCTCACCTCCAGGACTTGTAGGGCTCGAACAACAGCTTCCGGTCGGCCAGAAATTGGCTCGGGCAAAGCGGCAGCGGCCGCCGCAGCTGCGGCCACCGCCTGACTTATGTCCTGCTGAGTGTGTGTGTGTGGTGAGGGCGCTGATTTGGCTGGTGCTGCTGGTTGAGCCTGCGGCTGTTGCAGATTAGCCGTGGGCGCAGTGCGTTCCTCTTCTAACTGCTGTATGCGTCGCTCCAGCGAGCGCACGTATTGCAGCGTCTGATCGTTGAGCGTGTGGGCGTTGCGCAAATCCTGCACAGAATTTAGCCGAACATTAGTTTGAAACACCGAACTCTCGTATTTATAGTATTTCCACTTACCGGCAATTGCCTTTGTTCCGCATAGTTGCGCAGCGCTGTGATTGTCTCGTCCGCGTTGGTGCTTGAACTGGAGCCGTCTCCATCATCGCGCAGCGCGTTGCGCGTGGCCGCACCGCAGCCAGCACAGAGTGCATTGGCGGCTACATGGGCACGCTCTTCATCTAAATACAAGCATAGCTCCTTCAGTTCCAGATTGTCGGTGATTAACTCCTGTTGCTTGTCATCCAGCTGCCGCAATTTGTTCTGACAGAAAGTATGCGAGTGTTAATAAAGGTTAGGTATTTATTTAAATGTTTGGGTGACAAAAGCATTTGGCGATCAATTAAAGTGATCAAGTGTCGTTTATTCGAGCTGATATTTTATCGGTATCTTACCTGATAAGCTGCCACCTCTTGACGCATTACACTGGCCGTATATCGTCCAAAGCGCTGCCATTCTCGTGCCAGCTTGCGACCCTTTTGGCGATCATCGTCCAGAAAACAACACAAATCGCGTAGTTCCTGATTGTCATCCAGCAGACGCTGATTTTGCTCTTTCAGCGCGCGGAGCTCACTTACCAGGGACTGTTGAAAATTTGAATAGGTAAGTAAATAGATAATGCACAGATTTGCGTTCACATTACCTGTAATTGTCGATTTTGTTCTATTGTTAATCGTCCACCATTGGCTGTTGGTATGCCCGTGGCCACGCTGGACGTGACCGAAGCACTGGGCGACGGATGTTCCTGTTCTTGCTTACGCACAAACTTCAGCATATCCTGTTGTGCCTTGCTGGACTGTTGTTGCTGCTGCTGCTGGTGCAGATAGCGTGCCTGCTGCTGTTGCTGCTGCCGCTGTTGTTGGTGTTGCTTAACCGAATCAGGTATATATATACTGGATAGCTGCGGTATATCTGGCGGATATTTAAGTGCCAAGTGAGGCTTTAGTATGCTGCCACCTGACCCCGGCTGTGGGGGTGGCTGGTAGCGAGGGGGTATAGAGTGTGCAGGCGCCTTTAGATGTGCAGCCTTGAGCGTTGCCTGCTGTTGCAGCTGGTAGAAGCTGCGGCGTGTGGATGGCAACTGTGAATGGGCTGCCAGCTCCTTGGAATTGCTAGCAATCTGTTGTTGCTGCTGCTGCTGCTGTTGTTGCTGCTGTTGTTGTTGCTGTTGTTGTTGTTGTATGGGCAGACGCGATGCTGTTGCGTGCGTATGTTGCTGCTGCTGCAGGGTTGAGTGTTGCTGGTGTATTGTTGCCACAGTTTGCAGCTGATGCGATTGCCCTGCCGCTGCTGCTGGCGTTACTGTTACGCTTTGCTGCGCTGCTGCTGCTGCTGCTGCTGGCAGCAGTGAGCGTCTTTGCTGAAATTGCTGTAATTGTTGTTGCTTGCTAATTGCATGCGGCGTTGTTGTCGTTGCCGCTGTTGTTGCTGCTGCTGCTGCTGCCGTTGTTGTTGTTGTCGTTGTTGTGGCTGTCGTTTTGTGTACAATTTTGTCAACGCTATTAATTTTTATCAAATTATTGCCCAAAGTGCTCGACGATCCTGTTGCTGCTAATGTATGTTGCTGTTGTGGTTTCTGTTGTAGTTGCTGCTGTTGTTGTTGTTGTTGTTGCTGCTGCTGCTGTTGATTGCCAGACATTTTTATGTTGGTTCCTTTTTCACTTGTTTGTGTTTGTTTGTTTGTTTATTTATTTTGAGTGTCTATGCCCTCGACGCCATGTTGCGTAATTGCTGCCAAATAAAACGATAAACAAACAAGAGAGTGTTCTAGTTAATTATCCGACTAGTCGGTACCCTAATTTAATCCGATATAAATGTAAAAATGCCAAAACATACATATATCGGGGTTTTCAAATGATCTGCACGGGAACTAGAATAACTTTAATACATAGCTTTGTTGTAGGTATCGAGCTCTTGTAGTGTCTGTCTCAGATGGACAGGGTATTAAACAGGGCACAGCATTAAAAAACACTAAAATTATATTTTTTAAAAATGAAGATAAACGAAAACAAGCAGAGCATTAGGAAATGGTATTTTTGCGATAGTTAGGGGCACGCCGCATGTCATTTCCATGTTTACAATAATTAAACTGCCATTAGGCAACCGCTAGATAGAAAGTGAAATGCACATTTTCCGCGACAGTGCAGCCATGACACATGCCCAATGCCACATAAACAAAGGGAGTCGCCTAACAATTTCCTAGACAACTTTGTCTGTGTGTGCAGCTAAATGCAACGAAGCGTCGTAATTTTGGATGAGTCTTACCAATGAAAATGTCACTGTCACTGTTATTGCTATTGTTACTATTGCTATTACTGAACGACGCGTGGTCGTTGACTAAATGGTCGTTTCCGTTTCTGATTTGAAAACCGAAAGCACCGCAGCAGATGACAGATTGCACATGGCTATGCCGTGACTATCACACGTATCTCTTACTTGATTTTGAAAGTGAAAACTAATAAATGGCTTGATGGATGTTGCTATCGGGGTTGTTTTACTGTTATTCTTTTGCAATGTATATTAAATATACAATTGTATATATAAAAAAGCTTGTGCTGACTGACTGCCTGTAATAGACAAACATGTCTATATTAACTGGAGTCTTGATACTTTATCGGGTCGAAGATGTCTTCACATTTCATGACAAGATTATAATATCCTCTATTACTCTCCTTTGAAAATAACAGTACTTAAAAGTTAGCTCAACTAATCTTTGATAATCCGTAAAATAGTGTAAAACAAGTCT